ATTTGAAATTTTGTTGAAACATTTTTTTTTGGTAAATTTTGAATATTAAAAAAAACTTGGTAACTTTTCAACATTTAACTTACGATATCTCGCTAACTATTCGTCGAAAGAAAAAATAGTATTAGACTTTTTTACTTTACTTACTATCAAGAATATATTATTATAATAGTGCCCTAACTTTTGTTAACATATCGACCTTTGGAAATTTCAAAATTATTAAATTAACAAAAGTTAGGGCACTATTAATATATTCTTGATATTAAATAAAGTAAAAAAGTCTAATACTATTTTTTTGTCAACGAATAGTTAGCGAGATATCGTAAGATAAATGTTGGAAAAGTTACCAAGCTTTCCTTAAATATCTCAAAAAATATTAAGCAAATAAAAAATGTTTCAGACAAAAGTTGTTCAAATTAATTGGTATAAAAAGAAAATAATGAAAAGTGGTTTTATTTAAAATTGATGGTCGTGAACGTTGAAAGTGGCACCATCTATTAACAAAATGCTATCGCTGTCTTATGTCCCCCTTCAAGTCAAACAACTTTTGTCTGAAACATTTTTTTATTTAACGCAGTGTTTCTAAAGCGTGGTCTACAATGGCCGTAAGCAATAAGAAGAAAGCGTGAACAGTAAGAAATGGACCAACCACAGTTGATTATATTTGTCATAATCGACAGTGATTGGTTTATTTCTTACCGCTTACGTTTACTTCTTACTGCTTACTGTCATTGTAGACCATGCTTGAGATATTTTTGCGAGATTTATGCCTAGGACATTAAGTATTTTTGCAATATTGCTGTGATATTTATGCAATATTTCAGTAATATTCCTGCAATATTGCAGCAACATTTAAGAAATATTGTAGCAACATTCCTGCACGATGCATAATATTTCGGCAAAGTGCAATATTTGGCTATACATAGGTATTCCTGCAAGATTGTGGCGATATTTCAACAACATTGTGGCAATAGTCCTGTGATATTGTAATAATATTCCTACAACATCATAACAATATTCCCGCAATATTTCTGCGAGACTTATGCCTAGGACATTAAATATTTCTGCAATATTGTTGTCATATTTATGCAATATTTTAGTAATATTCCTGCAACATTTCTGTAATATTCCTGCAATATTGCGGTGCTATGTGGGTGGCTCATATGGAATCAGAATTCATTTCAATCTTGAGTGAAATATTCAATTTTGTGGTTTCGAATGGGACCGAATGGTATGAAAATTATAAAATTGAGTATAAATGTAAGAAATGGCCATCGTTTCATGTTATTGTGTTATTACATACGAGGGTAATCCCAGAAGTACCCGACCTGACGTATAGAAGACAGTTGTTGTTTGTAAAGAATGACTATGGTAGAAAGTATCAACCTTATACGACGTTACGTTGTTTAGTATTTGTTTGGCAGCCATCAATAGTAAACGCTCTCGGTGAATTTGTAAACATGGAAAAAATTGATCATCGTTATGTGATACAATACTTTCATTTGAAAGGCCTCAGTCCAACCAATAACAAAGCGGAGCTAGATTCTACTCTAAGGGAGTCTGCTCCTTCGTTTGCAACAGTAAAATATTGAGTGGCAGAGTTTAAACGAAGCCGTACGAGCTGCCAATACGAACATTGCAGTGGTCGACTAAATGAGATGACCACGCCAGAAATGGTGAAAAAATCTACAAAATGGTATTGGATGACCGTCGACTGAAAGTGCGCGAGTTAGCAGATATGGTAGGCATTTCAAAAAGTGCTGTACATCGCATATTGACTGAAAATTTGGACATGAGAAAGCTGTGCGCAAGATGGGTACACAATGATTGGAACAAAAACAGCGTCGTGAGGATGTTTCAATCGAGTGTTTGGCGAAGTTTCGCAGCAATAAAGCCGAGTTTTTGCGTCGATTCATAACCATGGATGAAACATGGGTCCATCACTTCACACCTGAGACGAAGGAACAGTCAAAACAATGGACTGAAAGGGGAGAATCGGCTCCAAAGAAAGCGAAGACAGTTCCATCTGCAGACAAGGTCACGGCATCAGTTTTTTGGGATGCGCCTGGGATAATTTTCATTGATTATTTTCAGAAAAAAAAAACAATCAACGGCGAGTATTATGCGAACTTATTGCAGCGTTTGAGTGATGAAATCAAGAAAAAACGGCCGCATTTGGCGAAAGTGAAAGTTTTGTTTCATCAAGACAATGCACCAGTTCACACATCCGTTATCGCGATGGCCAAAATCAATGAGTTAAAGTTTGAATTGCTTCCTCACACACCCTATTCGCCAGATTTAGCCCCCTCGAATTATTTTCTATTTCCAAACTTGAAAAAATGGCTCGGTGGTAAAAGATTTGCCAACAATGAAGAGGTGGAGTCTGCGGTTGATGGCTATTTTGAGGAGCTCGACGATTCCCACTATAAACAGGGTATCGAAGCTATTGAACATCGCTGGGAAAAGTGTATTGAGCTAAAAGGAGACTATATAGAGAAATAAAGATATTTTTTCCCAAATTTTTTGTGTTTTCTTTGTTAGGTCAGGTACTTCTGGAACTACCCTCGTATATTTTTACTATCGACTTGAGTGCTACGTTTCATCTTAAAAAATTAAAAAGAGTATAAGTACATCTATTCAAAGCATTTTGGTTTGTAATGATATAGAAATTGTTTACATTATTGCACATTCCAAAATAAATATTAACGATCCACACAGCACATAATATTACAGTAATATCATAATATTACTCCTCTATTACAATATTACGTTGTAATATTGCAATAGAGGAAAAATATTACTACATTATTACAGTGATATCACAGTAATATTATGGTAATATAATACTGTGATCAAAAAATAAGATGAATTTTTCATTTAAACTTCGCGGATACCATAAAATCATGAAATTATTTTTTGGTGGGTTGGTAGCACTGTCTATGACATTTATGCAGTCTATGAGTTTCATGTCAATATATTCAATTGCTGCAGAGCTATACGTGTTTTTGTAAACATGCAAAAGTGAGTTTTTCGATTTTTATCTTTACTATGTTTATTTTTACTATGTCTGATTTTGTTGAGCAAAGGATTTGCATTAAATTTTGTTTGCGGAATGAATATTCTGCCGCGGAAACGTTGAGGATATTGCAGAAGGCCCTTGGTGATAAGGCTACATCGCAAAAAAATGTTTACAAGTGGTACAAAGACTTCAAAGAAGGCCAAAAACGAGTTCAAGATGAACAGCGCCCCGGACGATCATCAACATCTACCGATGAAAGCCATATCAAGGAAATCAAAGATTTGCTGTTCGAAAATCGTCGATTGACAATTGAGACCTTGCTGATGCTACGGACATTTCATTTGGATCAACCCAAACCTTTTTAAAAGATGTTTTGTGCCTCAAACGCGTCAAATCTCGATTGGTTCGAAACACTCCATTTTTTGGAAAAAAAGAGCGTCGCGTTGACATCTGTGAAACAATGATTTCTGACTACCAGGACGTCATGAAACGCATCATTACGGGAGATGAGACTTGAATCTATGCATACGACCCGGAAACAACCGACCAATCGAGCGAATATCGTGCAAAAGATGAATCAAGACCGAAAAAACCGCGCCAAAGTCGCTCAAAAATCAAGGTCATGTTGACAGTTTTCTTCGATTATCGCGGTGTTGTGCATTATGAATTTCTTCCGCCAGGTCAAACTGTTAATAAGGAATATTATTTGAGTGTGTTATATGCGTCGTTTGCGTGAAGCTATTCGCCTCAAGAGGCCAGAATTATGGGCAGACAATTCTTGGTTTTTACACCACAATAATGCACCGTCCCACACTGCATTGGTTCCTCGAGAATATTTCGCTAAAAATTTGACCCATATCATTCCACAACCACCGTATTCGCCTGATTTAGCACCGTGCGACTTCTGGCTGTTCAACAAACTCAAATGACCACTCCGGGGACACCGTTTCGACTCGATTGAGAAGATAAAAGCCGAATCGAAGAAAGTATTGAAGGCCATCCCGGAAAAGACTTCTCTGACTGTTTCGAGGATTGGAAAAAACGTTGGCTTAAGTGCATTGTGTCGGACGGGGAGTACTTTGAAGGCGATGAAATTGATTTGGAAGAATAAATAAAGATTTTTCATTTTATAAACAAATCCACCTTATTTTTTGATCGCAGTAGTACTACAGTAATATTGCAATAATATATTATAGTAATATTGTCACAGTAATATATCACAATAATATTATTGTAATACTGTAAAGTTATAGAATATTCTTACGGAAAAAAAACACTCAAACAGCAACTGCAAAAGCACATGTTTTTTCGCCTGTTTGGTGGACCTTACGGATTGAATCGAATTGTGGTCTAAATGATAGCTTATGATGATATATTGATCTGGGAAAAATTTCAAGTTGAGTATAGGAATGGTTTCGGAGATATGAAGAGTCAAAGGCAGCCACAGGGGCTGCCTGCAAACACGAATAGCTGAGCCACCAGACGTTTGCGTTGTTAACGAGGTGCAGCGTCGCTCGGTAAAAGGTATCGAGAAACTTTTACTTATCAAGGCTTACATGAAGTCTCGGTTTCTTAGCGGAAAATGTCATCACATTTTTGTTTTAGTAGATAACGTAAAAACTGGTAGGGACTCAATTCGCGAGTACTACTGTACATGCGAAAGTGGTGCACAGACTGTTGGTTGCTGCGGCAACCAACTTGCCGCGTCCTTGCTGCAGCCATATTATGCAGCCATTGTATGGTTCCTAGGTTATGCACAATATGAGGGAATTCATATACCGAATCCGGATATATGTAATATATCCATTTCCATACTTAAGAAAGCAACGCCAGATACATAAATCCCACACGGAACAAAACCTCCATTAGACATCCAAATAACAACCATAGCTCCACTAGACATCCATCTCCATGGTAGATGTCAAAATGACATCTAATGGACATCCATATTATATCCATTGTGGATATCCATATAATGGGTGCGTTCGGAAACAACACTCGTGTGCACACGAGTGCACACCAGCCGTTCGGAAACACTCAGTGTGCACTCGTGTGAAGTCGTTCGGAAACACTAGTGGAGTGACATCCCTAGCCACCAATCCACCCGACGAAAAAGGACGTGGAGTCGGTGGGACTAGCGAGAAAATCTAGTTTTGGCGCGTGTTATTTACATTACTATACACTAGGTGTATAGTATATCGTCGATGTAACCTATTAATCTAGATATAATCTATTAACATTTGGCATTAATAATAAAAAAATATAATAATGCATAATAATATTACATTAGTAGAAGGACGGCATCGTGCTGTAATGATTGGGGATCTACCCGTGTTTAATTCTAAAGGATTGCTTGTGCAGGATGTACAAAGTAAGTTATTATATTGACATTCAAATAATATAAACAGAAATTGTAAAGTTTGTATCTCTTGCATATTTTGTATCAATACAGATTGAGAATGTTATATTTATATAGATTTGGACTTTTTTATAACAATTATATAGCATTATGTATTATCAGTAGAAATGTATTCATAGTTTCATCTTGTAGGTAACAATATTATCGTGCCTATATGTGAGGAGACAGCAAAATTCTTCAATTTGCGGCTTACTGAGGAATCACCTATACATGACAACGGTGGTCCAAATTCTGCTGACATGGTTGAATTGGGTGAGAAAACAGGTAAAAGTTTATCTATGGCGATTGAACTGTTTTGCATGTGACAACTTTTTTCCTGATTTTTCAGAAATACAGTAGAATCAATAGCATCTATCGATACAGCTTAAAATGTCCTTCAAGATTATATATAAACATTTTACAATGTCATATATACATTGATAGTTATACGAATTTCAAAAGTGGTCAAGTCAGTATTGTCTAATTTGTCCACTTTTGAAATTCATATAACTATCAGTGTATTATGACATTGTTTAATATTTATATATGATCTTGAAGGACATTTTCCACTCTATCAACTGATACTGTTGGTTTTATTGTATCTTTGTCTAGAAATCCAGAAAAGAAAGTCGTTACGTACAAAACGGCGTCCGATCACCCACATGTTACGTGTGGTTTTGTCCAAATATATTGTGTCATATATTCAAAAAAATACTAATATTAAAATATAACCTGCAGTTTCAAGTACGGCATCCTGGAAGAACGATAATGAAGTGAGATGCCTTATTTCTAATCTTTGGCAAGATCACCAAAACCATTTCAAAAATATGAAGAGCCGGGATGTATGGCTTATGATTAGTAAAGAATTAAAAAATAGTAATCCAGAATGGAATCAAAAATCTCCTGTCCAATGTGAAAACAAGTGGAAGGACATAAAGAGGAAATACAAAGACCATAACGGAAACGAAAGACCATAACAATCAATCTGGGAATGATCCTAAAACCTGTAAATTGTACGAAGAATTGGAAGAAGTTTTAGGCGAACAGTCGTGTGTTAAACCCATTGCTGTTGCCTCGAATCTTATCAAGAGGAAGAGAGCAGATATAAAAGCCAAAGATCCAACTTATTTCGAGGAGATGAGTGAAGATTATGAGTCACCAACTGAAGGTGAAGAAGGTCCTTTATCAAAGAAAAGACAACGGAAGATAACAAAAGTTCAAAGAGAGTTGCAAGACTGGTCCACTGCTCTTCTTTCCGAGGCGAAATCTCGAGAAGAGGCGAGGGAGTGACGTCACAGAGAGAACATGGCTGAATCGAAGGCAGCAATGGATGCATATAAAGAGATGATGGGGAAACTTATTGATAAGTTGTGAGTCTTTTTGTATTTCCTCGTTAACGTTTTAATGTTTATTTAAATGTTTACTTTGTTTTACAATTTTAAATACTGTTTTTATACAAGATGTAAAAGGTTTGTATTTTCAAAGAATTTTCTAAACTATGCAATATAATTTTATAAATTTTACATTATACAATAAGTTTTGAGTAAAACCAACTCTATTAATTTCGCTCTAACTTATTGCATCACTTCAGGAAGTTATTCGAAAAACAATAGATCTATTCATATAGATAAAATGTTTTTTTTTAATCCTTATGAAACCTTAATGTTCTACTACATAATTTATAAAGTTATACGTGTTAAAGCATGAAGATGATTAAGATTTAACTAAACGTAAGATCCTAAGTAACATATGTTGGTTTACACATTTTCTAAACATATGTAACGCTTTATAACTGTATAAGTTTGCAGAAATGTTTCTTAAATGATGTGTGCTACTTGGGATATAACAATTTTGTTAGTAGTAAGTTACAGTAAACGTCGATACTCATATTCTAAACTTTTTTGATTAAGATGTCGATTGTGTATTATACAATACAGCGAAAAGTACAAAAGTTAAGTATTGTACTAAATTGTTTACTAAAATTTTGTTTAGTAAAATTATAGATACTTTAATGATTGTGTGATATATGATCGATGCTCAAATAACATATAACATATGAGGCTGTGATGCAAAGACTCATTTATTAATATTAAAATAAATATATTTATAACAGTTGTGATAAAAACACTGATAGTTATACGAATTTCAAAAGTAGACGTTATGTACGGACCTTTATCTGTTTTCTCATTCAACTTAACCATGTCAACAGAATTTGAACCACCGTTGTTATGTAAAGTTCGCTATATTTTATGGTGCAATCGTCCTTGTGCTTCTTTTTTTATAGTGCTGAATGTATGCTACTGCTAAATTCTATTAAATGTTAGTATGTATGTCTCAAAAGTATCTTAATGTAGAAACATAAGTTTTTGTTAATATTTTTGAATCATGTAAGACTGAATTCTGTTTGAAGAAAGCTTCTGTGTATTATCAGAATAACAATTTTTTTGTTAAACTACACTATATACATACTAACTATATTTGTGTTCAGATATAAAATTTATTAAATAAAAAAGACCATGTTTTAAGTTTTGTTTTCTTATCCAGACAAACTTTCATAGCTGTATATGATATTACAACATACTATATTACAACATAAGACCATCTTGACCAATGAACATCTAACATAAAGTATCCACGTTAACAGTCTTATACATGCAGCCATACAGGTTTATCTGGATAGGCCTTTATGCTTTATTTCGTCAGAACCAATATATTTCATTATACAATGTGTTCCACAAGAGTTGTAAGATATTCACGGCGGGCCAATCTTATTGGGTCATTAGGTAACCAATTAGGGTTTAAGTTATTCGCATTATTGTTACCAGCATCCTGGTCCATACCCTCTTCTATAAACTCATCTATATCATGTTCACAACCTTGAAGGCAAATATTGTGAAGTACACAACATGCCAAAATTACATAAGGTATCAGATCGGCACAGCTCATATGCAAATACTTTAGCCGTCGGAATCTTCCCTTAAGAAGTGCAAAAGCTCTTTCAATAACCGCCCTCATTTTTGAAAGATGCTGATTAAAATTGTTCTGTGCCTGCACAGATAAAGGAACAATATTTAATTAAAGCAACTTACAGCACAGATATAAAAGAAGTTCTTGCTGCATTCTGAATTAAAACTTTAAACAGAAAGTTTACTACTCTACAATTGATTATACCTCAGTCATATTGCCTCTATTGATATGTGGAGCTATGCACCATGGCAGCACCGGATAAGCTTTATCAGCTATAATGAATTCATTATTAGGAAAAAAATCATTTTCATTTCTTCTTACTATATGCCAGAGATCAGAGTTCCTGAAAATTCTGGCATCATGAGCAGATCCAGCAAACCCAACAAAACAGTCTGTGAATATTAGGTCTGCATCGCACACAGCCTGCAGTGTAATGGCATATTCTTTTTTTCTTGTTCTATAGGAAATAGGATGAACCTATAAAAATAAGATAACAAAATTTGATAACAAAAGTATTTTTAGTTTCCATGAATTCTTATAAGTTATTCTTATAAGTTATTCTTATAAGTTAATTATAACTTAGGTTAAGTAAATTAAGATAAGTAAATTCTTACAAATAAGTTAACTTACCTTTGGCACTGGGATAGGAATGTGACATTCATCAATTGCCCCTATGACATCAGGAAGAGAGCCAATTCGTGAAAATCGATGTTTAACAGCATCCAATCGTTCACCTACAGGCCATTTAATATACCTGTCAGCTACATTATTCAAGGCATCCACAACTCTTCTCATGGAATCATGCAATAATGATTTGCTAATACCAAAGCGATCAGACACAGATCTAGAAAAGTAAGAACCGTGAGATATAAAATTTCTTTCCTTTTTACAACATTAAAAATACGTATCTTCGACAGACATCTGACATAAACTTACTTGAATGAATCAGGAGTTGCAAGCAATTACAGAACTGCAAGTAACTGTGTCCGGACATCTAAAGTATGTCTTCCACTTTCCGCTGTTCTAATCAGATCAGGTGCCAATATTTGCTCGAAAATTTCGTATGTTTCTCTAGTCATTCGGAAATGTTCTCTGAATTGTCTTTCTGAATAGTCACGTATTGTTATATTTACATAATCTTCAATTCTCGTAACGTGTCTGAAATCTCCTCGTTTACGTATCCGTGCCTCAAATATATTTGCCTCTTCATTCCAGCGATCGTATTCTTCTTCACTGCTCTCTTCATTCTGAGTTTTTCCAACAATTAATTTTAATAAATTATATCCACCAGTTATCGCACCGGCTACAAGTACAATATCCATTTTAGTAAATATACCTAGTATCTGGTCGTTCTTTGGTAATGGCTGAAAGCAGAACTCATGCGTCACACCTAGTACGTGAGAAGCGTTCGGTGACGTGACTAGTTGAGGGCACACTACTAACAAACTACTGTTCCACTGAAACAACCGAAGCACACTGTTTCCGAACGTACCCAATATTCGTCACAGACGTCCTTTAGAGATCCATCATAGACATAATGATGGAGATTTTATATAAGTTATATAGAGATTATATGGAGCTACTAGAGATTTAATGGATATACAATGGAGACTTTGTGGATGATCTGTCGTACTTTTATGAAAGAAGGAGGGCGTACTAGGTGGCGACGGGACGCCGTGCGTTCGGGACCTGCATCTCATTTTTCGTTCCGAGGAGAGAAAAATATCGAGAGTGCGGTAGTCGCTAGACCGAGAATCGAACCCGGGTCTTTCGCTTGCCGGGCGACTGCTCTAGACCACTGAGCTATCTGACGCTCCACGCTCACGACACTCTCCCCTCCCTAGATAACGTTGAGAGATGTCGTTCGGAAGCGACATCTCTAGTGCTATCCCGAACGCACGGCGACTACAGTTATAAAGCCTTTACAAATATAGCCACTTATCAGGCTTGAAGTACTTGTTTTATTTTTTATGTAAATGAAAAATATTAATAGTGAAATTTTAACGTAAGAAATAAAAATGAGCCATTTTTATTTATTACCTAACGGTTGAAGCGCAGACTGAAGTAAACAATACAATATAAACTAATTAAGGATGGAAGCTCACAGAATTTTGAGAAGTGATTTTATTTAATATGTAAAAGGAGCTAGTACATAGATGTGCACAAATATAATTATAAATATAAATACAAAAAAGTGCATATAAATTAAAGTGTAAATGTAAATATAAATATTGGCTGGCGTCTTCGAAGAACACTCTTTTTGGAACTCACGTTGCTGCTGTTGGACAAACCTACGCATCACCTGTATCTGAACGCTGTGATATGGTTGGACAATTACCTGCAAAAATTGGAAAATACATCTAAAAAGTATGACGGTTTGCAATTATGCTGTCTGATTAATCGTAAAGAACTAAAAAGCGAGGAAAATCTAGGATACAGGTGGTTAGTGCGAACATAAAATATATTGAAATAATTTGAACAGATATTTCTAAACGTTTCGTTAAAACAGAGGAGAGAGCGAGAGAGAAAGTACAATTCAAAGTAAATATAATAAGCAGTGGTCATATTGAACACTTGGAAATATCTGTTCGAATTATTTCAATATATGTTCGCACTAACCATTTGCGTCTTAGGTTCTTTTCGCTTTTTTTCGAAGTCAATATAATAAATAGTGGTTATAAATAGTGGTGAATTGTACTTTCTCTTTCTCTCTCTCTCTCTCTCTCTCTCTCTCTCTCTCTCTAGTTTTTTTTATATTATTTTAATGTTTTCTTTGTATCCTCAGAATTACATACAAATGTATGCGATATATGTAAGTTATTAAAAACTTCCTAGTATCATTGGCTACTTGCGCAGATCCTGAAAATAATCTTAATTAATCTCTTCATGTATTATTGTTCGGAACTAGCCCGAACATATGATAGCTCCGGAGAGCTGGCTGGAAGTACGGATCGCAGAGCGACGTCCGCCTGCGTCTAGGCTCGCTCGAGTCCGCTCGGTGACCGTCCGGTCGTCCTGATCAAAGGCCGGGGCCTCGCAAGGCGACCACAGACCCTGCTGATCAGGCAACGTCGCGCGCCGACTGGGCCATGCCCAGGGACGGCGGCGAGAACATGAGAGAAGAAGCACGCGCACGTGCCGACGTAAAGTGACACGCAGTGTAAACGCAATGGACGCAATAAACGCAGTAGTAACGCAGAAGAGAATAACGCAGAAGAACGACGCCGAAGAACCTAAACGTAGCTATATACAAGCGAAACAACGTCGCCTACGCAAGTCCCGCAGGACACACGTCCGTGACGTCAACGGTGCGCGGCACCCGAAGCACGCCAAGGACGTGCAACGAAACGACCTCCGTCGTTTCGGATGGCCTGCCCTTCCGGGCGTACTGGCCAATAGCCAGCCACGGTCCCGAGGACGCGTGGAAACGGAGCTCCGAGAGCTCCGGCTCGCAGGACGACCACGTCGCTCCTGCGAGAAAGCCAAGTTCCCAATGGACACTTGGACGAAGGAGCGCGAACGCTCTAAGACTGCGACCGAGCCGCTCCAAAACCGCCAAGGCCCCCTACGGACACTTGGGCAATAAGAGAGCTCGAAGCTCCGAGGAGACGGTCGAGTCGCTCCTAAGATCACGGCAACGCCGTGAGTCCGAGATCACAAAACGAGATTCGAACCATTTGCCTCAACCCAGCAGGGTGTATCGACGCCACCTTCAACTCAGCAGAGTCTATAGAGCAGTGGTTCGAATCTGAATGAAATACCGATCGCCCTAGGAAGCGCGTCGGTAATCACCAGTACACGATGTACTAACGCGTAGCACTACTTGCTACCTAAACTGGCCAGGCAGAAGACAAGACAAGGCCCGGACCAGGCATCGCGCGCCTGGTTATATATCCGGGCGGTCGAATCTTGCCCGCGGGCAGCGGAATCGCGAGCCGCGCTGTGTAGCGGCCGCGGTTGGACCTAGTGGGGGTCCCGCGCGCTCGCTCGCGAGAACCCGAGTCCCCCGCCGCCAGCGAGAACGCCCCGGGCACCAGGCCGCCCGCCTTGCAGCGTTGACTCGCACCGACTTTCCGTACGGCATCACGTGCCGTACGGAACATACCGCCCGCCTCCGTCGCGGCGACGGAAGTCAGTGGTGGAACAAATCCCACCAGGAAGGCCGCACTCGCGGCCTTGCGTCCGTGAAGGCCTGTTGAACCCCTTCATGTTGAAGGTTGATTGGGATGAGCCCCCTTCGGATCCACAGGGAGCCTCACCAGCTTGACCAGTGGCCGGGTCAAGGTCGAGTCCGCTGTGCGCACCTGCGCCACGCGGACGTGCCCATCCGGGCCAGGCAGCAAGCCGGTGATGCGGCCGAAAGGCCACCGAGTAGGAGGAAATCGGCTATCCGCCAAGAGCACGAGGTCGCCGATGTCCAACGGACGAGAAGCGATGAGCCACTTGCCCCGGACCTGGAGCTGGGCTAGATATTCTCTAGACCATCGCTCCCAAAGATGCTCCGTCATATGCTGGAGCAGCTGCCAGCGACTCAACCTCGCGACCTGAACGTCCCCGAGGGATCGCTCAGGCGGACACAACAGCGGGCGCCCAATCAGGAAGTGTCCAGGTGTCAGGGCCTCCAAGTCCTGTGGGTCGTCCGTCAACGGACACAATGGCCTGGAGTTGAGACAGGCCTCAATGCGAGCTAGAAGAGTGGCGAACTCCTCAAAGGTCAGTGCCTGCTCTCCTATTACCCGTCGCAAGTGGTGTTTGACGGACCGCACTCCCGCCTCCCACAGTCCGCCGAAATGCGGAGCTGAAGGAGGCATGAACTTCCAGGTGGTGCCCTGGTTACTCAAGGAGGCCGCGACCGGTCCCCCCAACGCCATGACCGCCTCAAACTGCCCTCGCAGCTCGCGGTCCGCACCCACAAATGTGGTCCCCCTATCGCTGTACACGGTAACCGGCAGGCCCCGCCGGGCCGCGAAACGATGAAAGGCCGCTAAGAAAGTCGGGGCCGAATAGTCACTGACCACCTCCAAGTGGACAGCGCGCGTGCTGAAGCAGACGAAGACAGCAATATATCCCTTGGAGGTGGTACGTCCGCGTCCTCGAGACGGACGCACCGCGACCGGTCCAGCATAATCCACCCCGGTGGCAGAGAACGGTGGATGAGGCAACACCCGATCGCGAGGCAGCGGAGCCATGAACGGGGTGATCGGGGTGCCCTTATGGCGTGTGCAGCGCACACAGCCCCGTATCACCTGGCGCACGAAAGAGCGCCCAGCTGGAATCCAGAATTCGCGCCTCACGGTGAGCAACGTAAGCTGCACTCCCCCGTGCAGCGTGCGTTCGTGCGCATCTCGCACAACGAGAGTCGCGAGCCGAGAGCGTCGCGGTAGCAGGACTGGCTGCCGTGCATCGATCGGTAACGCTGAGAATTGCAGGCGGCCCCCCACCCGCAAGAGGTCCCGCTCGTCCATCATGGGGTTGAGTGGCCGCAATGCCGATCTCACCATCAATGCTCCCCCCCGCTTCAGACGACCCAACTCCTCTGCGAAGAAGCGGTGCTGCGTAACCCGCAGCAGGCGCAGTCGAGCTTCACTCAGCTCGTCCGCCGTTAAGGGTCCACTGATCCGTGGGACTCGCAGGAATCGTCGTACATAGGCCATCACGCGGATGGCCTTGCGGAAGGAGCATGCTCGGAGGACACCGGACCAGTCCTCCGGGTTCACGGCCACCACGTGAACCATGCGCCGTTCCTCGCTAATGCTTCGGTCGACCGCGACACAAGTTAGACCCGGCCAGCCCGCCGGGTCCTCGACAAGCCAAGAGGGGCCACGCCACCAAAGGGCGTGTTCTCGTAGCCCGCCGGCCAACAAACCCCGGGAGGCGCAATCCGCGGGATTGTCGCCGGACGGGACATGCCGCCACGAGGCCCGCGGAAGGCTCTCGTGAATGTACGAGACGCGATTGGCGACAAAGGTGGTCCATCGAGATGGATGCCCTGTTATCCAATGGAGCGTGACAGAGGAGTCGGTCCAACAAACCAGGGAGGCCTCGGCAGAACCGAGCGCCTCCACAATGGCCTTCATGAGGCGCGAGAGCAGCTGCGCACCGCACAGCTCCAGGCGGGGCAACGATACCCGCTTTAGTGGGGCGACCCTGGTCTTGGACGCCAATAGAGCGACACGGGTGGTCCCATCAGACCGTCGAGCCCGTAAGTAGATGACGGCGGCGTACGCCCGCTCCGAGGCGTCCGAGAAGCCGTGAAGCTGGATCTCCACTTCAGGCGACCATCCGGTCCAGCGAGGAACTCGGATCGCGGAAACCTCCGCGAGCCCGGTGCTAAAGGCGTCCCAACGTCGCGAGAGCGGAGAAGGGAGAGCCTCATCCCAACCGAGCCCGGCCAACCACAAGTCCTGAAGGAGGATCTTCGCCAGTACTACCATAGGCCCCAACCAGCCCAGGGGGTCGTATAATCGCGCAACGACTGACAAGATGCCACGCTTCGAGATGGCTGATTGAGCCCCGGGGTTGACCGAAAAGCAGAATGCATCCTCGACCGGAATCCAACCGACCCCCAGCACAGATGCACCCACGGCCCCAGAGTCCGGCAAGAGGCACCAAAGGCTCGCGGTCCCCCTCCGGGATACCGGACAAGAGTTCCGGATGTGAGGCCGCCCACTTCCTGAGTCGGAACCCGCCCGCCATGAGCAAGCTGCTCAGCTCACGCTGTCGATGGCGTGCCTCCCCAAGGTCATCTGCCCCCGCAAGAATATCGTCGACGTAGGTTTGTCGACAAAGTAAGTCTGCTGCCCGGGGATAACGTTCCCGCTCATCCAGCGCCAGCTGGTGCAGCGTGCGGATGGCCAGATAAGGAGCGCACGCCATGCCATAGGTGACCGTGGTCAACCGGTACACCGATATTGTCTGCGTCTGGCTGTCTCGCCAGAGAATCTGTTGGAGGTGTTGATCCTCCGGAGCCACCCGCACTTGACGAAACATTTGCTCGATGTCTGCAGAGAAGGCCACTCGATGCATGCGCCAGGCAAGTAGAATCTCGCCCAGTTCTCGCTGTAAGCGCGGCCCCACGTGCACCAAGTCGTTCAACGACCGGCCATTGGTGGACGCCTGCGAGGCGTTGAACACCACTCTTACCTTAAGCTCGGGGGCTTGTTTAATCACCGGGTGATGTGGAATAAAGTAAGAGGGCCGCGGGGTCTCGACATTGAGCGGCAGGCGGATCATATGCCCCTGTCGTTCATAGTCAACAAGAAAGTCGCGATAGGCCCCGCCCAAGGAAGGCTGCCGAAGCAGTCGCCGCTCCAAGCGATGCAACGAGGCAGTGGCAATCCGCCGAGTGTCGCCGAGAGACAGCTCAGTCGGAGGGCTCCTGAAAGGCAACCGCACCTGATAGCGGCCGTCCGCACGACGCCGAAAGGACGCCGCGAAAAACTCTTCACAAGCCCGCTCCTCCTCAGAGAGCGGGGAAGCAACCGGAATCTCCTCCACCTCCCAGAAGCGCCGCAAGAGATCCGCCATGTTGTCCGACGCACACTGCACCACATGACAATGAGAGCCGCCCGCTCCGGCGGCAGACGGGAGAGCCCCGAACAGCACCCACCCCAAGCGGGTACGCTGCGCGACGGGAGCTCCCCGTGGGCCCCGGCGAAGCCCCGTCAACACGATCTCGGCGAATACCTCCGCTCCAAGTATCGCCTCGATGCGCTCGTCATCATCGTGATCATCCGCCAACCGGAGGTTCCTCAAATGCGACCACCTCCCCGTCAGCCAAGCCCTCTGCGGGGGGTGGTACGCCGTAAGCCTCGGTAGAATGAGGGCCTCCACCGTGGTGGAGAACGGGAGGCCAGCAGTTGCCCTGAGCCGCAATGACGTGCTGGCCCGCACCCGCTGAGGGGGTCCCTCTGAGACGCCCGACAGCCCAACATCCACCGATCTACGAGACGCGCGCAGCCGCTGCGCAAGCGCCTCGGACACCAGGCTCACCTCAGAGCCCTGGTCAATGAGCGCTCGAACCACAGCGGATCGGCCATCGGACGCCATCAGACAAACCCTGGCTGTGGCCAAAAGCACTCGCTGTGCAGGCATCCGCGTCGCAGCATGCGCCGTGACCGGCGCCTCCCCCGACGCCGCGGCCGGAGACTGCCGAGCGGAGTGCAGAAGTGAATGGTGCGGCTCTCCGCACTCCCGACATCGACCCTTAGACGGGCAAGCGGCCGCCTGGTGCGACGGACCGAGGCAGTTGAAGCACAACCCGAGAGCGCGCACCCTTGCCCGTCGCGAAGAGACCGGCCGATCTTTAAAGGCCGAACACTCTCTGAGTCCATGCTCAGAACCGCACCCAGCGCAACGGGTCGGCTTGGGCCGATGAAGATGTAGCGATCGTCGACCAGTCCGCTCGGATGCCGATGAGGCACGGGGGCCGTCCCCAATGGACGGAGCCGCGGCAACCGCCTCGAGCGCCACCCGACGCTCGTCCAGGAAGACTGCCAGTCGGTCCCAGCTCACTGGCTCGCGCCGGTCCGCGGTGGCCATCTCCCAGGCCCGCCGCGTTGCAGAGTCCAGCTTGGAACGGAGGATATTAACCAATATCACGTCCCAAGCATCCACTGGCTGGTCAAGAAGGCGCAAGGCGGCTCGCAGCTCGCTGGCTCGATCCAACAGCCTCCGAACCTCGGAGACGCTCTCCTGACGCATCGGGCCAATATCCCGGAAAGCGTCGAGATGCTGGTCCACAAGCAAACGACGTTTATCGTACCGTGCACATAGCGCTTCCCACGCTTGCTCAAACGAGCCAGTAGCGACGCCGTAGTGCCGGAGCAGACGTTCAGGCTCTCCCGACACGCTCTGTTTTAAATAATGCATCCGGTGAACTGATGCTAACGACGGGTTATCGACTATTAAGGACTCAAAGAGATCCTTAAAATTGCGCCATTCGTCAAACTTCCCTTCGAACTTCGGAATGGGAATGCGAGGCAACGAAGCCTCGGGCACTACTGCCTGCGCGGGGACTGCGTGAGCAGCCGACTCAGCCTCCTGAACCTTCAACCCATCGAGCAGGGTTTGGATTTCTGCGCGCTGCGCAATGTAGACTTCCTGTACCGTGCCACAGGCATCCTGTCGCACGTAGTCCGACTCTCGCACGGTCTTGAGGCGAGACGCTCGGATCGTGCGATGATCATCCTGGAACTGAGCCCAGTACGTGTCGAGAACCTGCAAACGAGACGTCAACCCGCCAACTGACTTCAGTTGACCGGACTTGCGTGCATTGTCCAGCAGCCGCTCCATGCGGTGCTGCCGGTCGTATTGCAGCTCGATGAGCCCAAGAATGTCCTCCTCCTTAGACATAACGGAGCCCGAGCTAACCAACCCGACCCAGGTCCGAGACTACCGCTCCCGATCCGGCTCGAAGGACCAAAATTATGTTCGGAACTAGCCCGAACATATGATAGCTCCGGAGAGCTGGCTGGAAGTACGGATCGCAGAGCGACGTCCGCCTGCGTCTAGGCTCGCTCGAGTCCGCTCGGTGACCGTCCGGTCGTCCTGATCAAAGGCCGGGGCCTCGCAAGGCGACCACAGACCCTGCTGATCAGGCAACGTCGCGCGCCGACTGGGCCATGCCCAGGGACGGCGGCGAGAACATGAGAGAAGAAGCACGCGCACGTGCCGACGTAAAGTGACACGCAGTGTAAACGCAATGGACGCAATAAACGCAGTAGTAACGCAGAAGAGAATAACGCAGAAGAACGACGCCGAAGAACCTAAACGTAGCTATATACAAGCGAAACAACGTCGCCTACGCAAGTCCCGCAGGACACACGTCCGTGACGTCAACGGTGCGCGGCACCCGAAGCACGCCAAGGACGTGCAACGAAACGACCTCCGTCGTTTCGGATGGCCTGCCCTTCCGGGCGTACTGGCCAATAGCCAGCCACGGTCCCGAGGACGCGTGGAAACGGAGCTCCGAGAGCTCCGGCTCGCAGGACGACCACGTCGCTCCTGCGAGAAAGCCAAGTTCCCAATGGACACTTGGACGAAGGAGCGCGAACGCTCTAAGACTGCGACCGAGCCGCTCCAAAACCGCCAAGGCCCCCTACGGACACTTGGGCAATAAGAGAGCTCGAAGCTCCGAGGAGACGGTCGAGTCGCTCCTAAGATCACGGCAACGCCGTGAGTCCGAGATCACAAAACAAGATTCGAACCATTTGCCTCAACCCAGCAGGGTGTATCGGCGCCACCTTCAACTCAGCAGAGTCTATAGAGCAGTGGTTCGAATCTGAACGAAATACCGATCGCCCTAGGAAGCGCGTCGGTAATCACCAGTACACGATGTACTAACGCGTAGCACTACTTGCTACCTAAACTGGCCAGGCAGAAGACAAGACAAGGCCCGGACCAGGCATCGCGCGCCTGGTTATATATCCGGGCGGTCGAATCTTGCCCGCGGGCAGCGGAATCGCGAGCCGCGCCGTGTAGCGGCCGCGGTTGGACCTAGTGGGGATCCCGCGCGCTCGCTCGCGAGAACCCGAGTCCCCCGCCGCCAGCGAGAACGCCCCGGGCACCAGGCCGCCCGCCTTGCAGCGTTGACTCGCACCGACTTTCCGTACGGCATCACGTGCCGTACGGAACAATTATTATATAAATTAAATGATATATGTGCATAATAATAATAAAAGTAGTATATGTCTCCCGTACCTGGATGATGGATATCTCTATTTCAACATTCCATACCTGAAGAATTTTCTCAAATGGAGTAATTTACAGCTACGGAAATATACTTATATTAAGATCTGTCTACTTCTCCATAGATTCTTGAATTGCGCTTTTCCTCGTTTTCAGATCTTGCTTTGGAGTGCCGGAACCATTCCATAACCCTTCGTTGAATCTTTCCTTGATCAGAATCTGACACATTGCGGAGAACGAATCCTAGAAAAATAATTTCTATGGTATGTAATAAAGTTCGATTCATTTATTTCGTTATTTTAATATATTTCATATATTTGTGATGGTTGCGTTAATACTCATTGAAAATAACTTTCATTAATTCCAGATTGTGTAATGCTGCTTTCCCACGTCGACCTTCCCAGTTGTACTGTTCCGCCAATCCGTTTGAGATTAGTTTATAGAGGCTTCTTTTCACCGCATCATCCATGTTATTTCCTCCTATGGATTTCACATACGCACGCTGCAAAGTTGAAATATATATTATATCATACGAGTGAAGCACAATAAAGTACATTTCAGGTAGCTTACTATTGTTAACTTACTATTGCATCGCCGCGTTGGGATTTAGGGTCTTTTAGAATGTCCTCAACCTCCATTAATTGGAATTTTTTTTTAGTGGAAATAAATCTTCAATATCCTCGAAGAGATATGTCGGGTTCCGTGATTTTTCTTTTTCGTCTGATTTCTTCACTAAAATATGCAACAAGTCCAATGACCGTCTTACATTATATTTTACGACGGTTATTTCTCGGGTCAGTTTTTTTAAATAGTCCACTGCAAATATAAAGTGTATTATTTATTATTATACACGATTAATACTATGCTACTTAAGATAAGAGATTTACAAAGGAAGTAGACTTGTTTATTTAGCCAAAAACAGCAATAAAGATTAATATCGCATCAATGTTATACTTTTGCATCCAACTATGTAACTTGTTACTTACATTGTTCGCAAGTTCGGCAGTTCGTTTCTTTTTAGGCTTGTTAAAAATTTCAACTTACCAATCGCTCCTTGCGATTGGTAATTTAAATTATCAGTATGGAGCTCGAGCTCCTTCTCCTGAATTTTGTGCAGAAACTAATGGATCCTGATGATGTCTCAGTGTGCCGATTCTTTATGCGATCTCGTTAGCTTCTTTTATCCTCCCATATGATGAACTTTCGTTACCTACGTCTAAACACGAGAAAAGGAAAATGTATATAAGGTAAAGGTACCTATGTCTGCACATGTACCTAATCTACTCTTATCGTTTTTTGTCTTTAAATACACTGAAAAAAGATATCTTAAAAATAACAAATATTTCTTTCAGAAACGCTAATTACTAAAGCGTATTTACTTAAATTAAAATTTTTTTTATTAAAAGCAAATATTGTTTACTCAACTGTTTAAGTTAATAACACTTGATTTAAATAAAGAGAATTTAAATTTAAATAAATATGCTATCAATACCTCTCTAAGAATTATTTGTTATTATTAAGATATTTTTTCTCTCAGTGTACGATTATTTTATTTTTACTATAGAATATATATATATATATATGTAATATATGTTTATATATTCTACACTAGTGGTCGGAATTACTTTCAGGCGTGTTTCGAGAGTTACGACTATTTCTCTTTCCTTATCTCTCCGCTCTCACGGTCATCCCTATAAATGACATATGACAGTCCTACACGCAGAAAAATACTCATTGCACAGCCAAAAAAAGCAAATTACTCGGTTCTTTTTATTTTTTTTAAGTAATACTTGCGAAAAGAACCCGCAAGTATATTATATACTCATCGTAAGAATCACATGTACTTAAAATAATTACTATTATATATATTAAGCTGTTATAAAACTCAAATTAAAGAAAATATTTTTCGTTGAAAAGAACTGTCACTTAAAAGAAATTTTTAAAAAACCGAATAATTAGCTTTTCTTGGCTGCACAATGCATTTTTTCATGTGTACACTGAGTTGCAATAAATTGTTCCGCGAGAGGGGAAATGGAGATCCTACACTCTGGTATATGGTCTGTTCTTTGTAGCTGCACTGCTGAACTGGTGCAATAAGTTAGAATGAGAAAATCTATATTTATCTTACTTTAACTTATTGCACCAGTTCAACAGTGCAGCTACAAAGAACAGACCAATAGTATGGTCTGTTCTTATTAACTGCACCGCTGAACCAGTGCAATAAGCTACAGTGAGAAAACCTATATTCGTCTCACTTTAACATATTGTGCCAGTGCAGCAGTGCAGTTGCAAAGAGCAGACCATAAATCTGACGTAATCCACGTGTCCGGCGTGACACTTGTAGAAATTGTCGTCGGAGCGTATAAGCAAGGGAAGAGAAATAGGCATAGTTCTCGAAAATCATCTAAAGTGCACGAGTAATTCCGAACCACTGTTCTATATACTTCAAATATTCGTACTTAAAGGCCAAAATAATAAGAATGTGCAGAGAGTTGCATATGTTAAAACGTTAATTTCACCGTGCATAAGTACTTTATATCACAGTGTTTACTTACCTTTACAAAATGAGCGTGTGCCTTTATATGACATCGTCGGTGATTCATAATCGTTATGTCTGGTGAAACTCTGGAAAGTGACATTCTCCGAACGTTCACTACAAATATTTTCATCAGCGTCGTTTCTGCGTCGTTGAACTATAAATATTAAAAGACATTAAAATATTAATATAATATTAATGTAATACCAATCAACAATAAATTTTCTCCAACATTTAAGACGTATTCGGTAATTGTTACATTATTGCTTTTTGCTAAAAAGCTTTAATATTTTGAGTGCGTGTGTGTGTGTGTGTGTCTTATCTCTGTTTTTTCTACAGAAATATACGATAAGAACATTACTTTTGAATCAAGATTTGTTCTTATATGTTAGCAAAGTGATTGTGTGATTAATTTGAATATATTCGTGTCTTCAAACAAAAAATTGATCTTTAATTGGATGATTGATTTCCTTGGTTGAAGACGAATATATTCAAATAAACACAATCATTTTGCTTACATATAAGAACAAATAATCTTGATTCAAAACAAATGTTTTTACTGTGTCTTATGTACAAATAGGTGACTTCTAAACACCCAGTGTTTTACATCTATTTCTAATTACCTTTCAGAGGAAGAGATGGAGGAGGTAAATAAACAGTTGTATATGGCTCTTCCTCACTTTCCAATGAAGTAAACACTCTTTTTTTTGTTCTATGTTTCCTATATTCCTTTCCCTCCTTTTCGGTATCCATATCTGATGTGTAAATAGCCCTATTTGCCTTCTCATCAGCTGTTTCCAAAGATGCTGAACATATTATAGACATATCATTAATAATATTCATGTTATTAAATGTATTATGTTAAATTCTAATCTTGTTTAATTAAAATATTACTTACAATATTCGCCAAATATCCGAATAACTGTGTGGAATGTCCAGTTGGTGCTTGGAACTTCTTCTTTTTCTACCGCTTTTCTAATTCTTTGATCTGTTTTGTAATGAAGGATATTTGCACAGGTCTCCATTTTGCAGCCACAGTTTTGGTATAACCTGAATATCATCTTTAAACTCTGCGACCACAAATCTTCGACTGAGCAGTCTTTCCCTGCCAAAAGAAAAATCACTCTACGAGCAATTTGTCCATCATACATCTGCATGTACATATATACACAGTGACAGTTTTTGAAATATAAAGAATTAAGGTATGTATAAAAGACAAATAATTTTATTAAATCTGGACAGTGTGTGCGTGAGTGCGTGCGTGCGTGCGTGTGTGTGTGTGTGTGTCATAAGAATCTCCATCATCAATTTATAGTATTTTTAGCGGTATCACTGCAAAGTAATCGGTATCTTTATATGGCAGTTTTAAGAATTTATGATTGATTTTGCGTAGGGGCCAAACTTGAAGAGCAGATAGTTCTCTTACTTTGAATATACCCAAACAAACAGAACTACATGGAGTACTATATAATTCCTCGACAACCAAGAATTTGCGACCTATTGCAACATTAGTACCTTCAGTTGTAATAGCGATATTTTCTAAGCACACTACATCGTTTCCTATAAAGCAACAATTGTTTGAAGATTTGATCGAAAGGTAAAAATCTGAAAATTTTATTTTTGAATATTGGGGACTACGGCAATCTGATACGAATGGACCATTATCATGTGGATCTTTGACACATATTTTTGAAGGACTTTCATCGCCACAAGTTGTCTTACAAATACTCTGATGGCTTGCTAATATCATGTTCTAATTCTAATCAATTATGGCCAATTCTAGGTCGATTTATGTTTCACGGAAAAGTATATCTTATCGATTGTTATTTCGGCAAAAGTAAACCAGCGGATGCAAATGAATTTTTACAGCAATTCGTAAATGATATCAATATTTTGATAGATAACGGCGTAACGTATAATGGAAAAACATTTTCAGTCTCAATACATTCAATCGTATGTGACGCACCTGCAAAATCTTTCATCACTTTTACGAAAGGTCGTAACGGATATTTCAGTTGTCCAAAATGCACAATGGGAAGCGAGTTTATTGCAAATAGAATTTGTTTCCCGCATGTTAATTACCAAAAAAGAACTGATAATAGTTTTCGTAACCAAGAACAAGAAGAGCACCATCTCGGTTGGTCTGTGCTATTAGATATAAAGAATTTCAATATTATATCCGGGATACCATTAGATTACATGCATATGATATGTATAGGTGTTGTAAAGAAGCTAGTAAAATTATGGATAAATGGTCCTTTGGAAACCAGGTGTTTAACATCTAAAACACAAAAAATATCTCCAAAAACCTTCTAGATATCAGACATTTTATTCCGAAAGATTTTGCAAGAGGACCACGAGCATTAGAAGATTTTGCTCAGTGGAAAGCAACTGAGTTCCGTCAACTGCTCTTGTACACTGGGCCTGTAATATTATATAAAGAATTACCATTTATTCCCATTATCTGTGTCTACACGTTGCTGTACGCATATTAAGTGAAAAAAATACTCAGTATATTGAATATACTGGAAATTTATTGAAGCATTTTGTTACATGTTTCATTAAAATTTACGAGCCAGAATTTACATTCCATAACATTCACGGTCTTCTGCATATAAGTGACAGCGTAAAAGAACTTGGACCGTTAGATACATTTAGTGCCTTCCCTTTGAAAATTTCCTGAAAAAATTGAAATCTACGTTAAGGAAGTTTGAGAAACCATTAGAGCAAATTAGCAATCGCTATGCTGAAATGAGTATTTGTAAGACAACTTGTGGCGATGAAAGTCCTTCAAAAATATGTGTCAAAGATCCACATGATAATGGTCCATTCGTATCAGATTGCCGTAGTCCCCAATATTCAAAAATAAAATTTTCAGATTTTTACCTTTCGATCAAATCTTCAAACAATTGTTGCTTTATAGGAAACGATGTAGTGTGCTTAGAAAATATCGCTATTACAACTGAAGGTACTAATGTTGCAATAGGTCGCAAATTCTTGGTTGTCGAGGAATTATATAGTACTCCATGTAGTTCTGTTTGTTTGGGTATATTCAAAGTAAGAGAACTATCTGCTCTTCAAGTTTGGCCCCTACGCAAAATCAATCATAAATTCTTAAAACTGCCATATAAAGATACCGATTACTTTGCAGTGATACCGCTAAAAATACTATAAATTGATGATGGAGATTCTTATGACACACACACACACACACGCACGCACGCACGCACTCACGCACACACTGTCCAGATTTAATAAAATTATTTGTCTTTTATACATACCTTAATTCTTTATATTTCAAAAACTGTCACTGTGTATATATGTACATGCAGATGTATGATGGACAAATTGCTCGTAGAGTGATTTTTCTTTTGGCAGGGAAAGACTGCTCAGTCGAAGATTTGTGGTCGCAGAGTTTAAAGATGATATTCAGGTTATACCAAAACTGTGGCTGCAAAGTGGAGACCTGTGCAAATATCCTTCATTACAAAACAGATCAAAGAATTAGAAAAGCGGTAGAAAAAGAAGAAGTTCCAAGCACCAACTGGACATTCCACACAGTTATTCGGATATTTGGCGAATATTGTAAGTAATATTTTAATTAAACAAGATTAGAATTTAACATAATACATTTAATAACATGAATATTATTAATGATATGTCTATAATATGTTCAGCATCTTTGGAAACAGCTGATGAGAAGGCAAATAGGGCTATTTACACATCAGATATGGATACCGAAAAGGAGGGAAAGGAATATAGGAAACATAGAACAAAAAAAAGAGTGTTTACTTCATCGGAAAGTGAGGAAGAGCCATATACAACTGTTTATTTACCTCCTCCATCTCTTCCTCTGAAAGGTAATTAGAAATAGATGTAAAACACTGGGTGTTTAGAAGTCACCTATTTGTACATAAGACACAGTAAAAACATTTGTTTTGAATCAAGATTATTTGTTCTTATATGTAAGCAAAATGATTGTGTTTATTTGAATATATTCGTCTTCAACCAAGGAAATCAATCATCCAATTAAAGATCAATTTTTTGTTTGAAGACACGAATATATTCAAATTAATCACACAATCACTTTGCTAACATATAAGAACAAATCTTGATTCAAAAGTAATGTTCTTATCGTATATTTCTGTAGAAAAAACAGAGATAAGACACACACACACACACACGCACTCAAAATATTAAAGCTTTTTAGCAAAAAGCAATAATGTAACAATTACCGAATACGTCTTAAATGTTGGAGAAAATTTATTGTTGATTGGTATTACATTAATATTATATTAATATTTTAATGTCTTTTAATATTTATAGTTCAACGACGCAGAAACGACGCTGATGAAAATATTTGTAGTGAACGTTCGGAGAATGTCACTTTCCAGAGTTTCACCAGACATAACGATTATGAATCACCGACGATGTCATATAAAGGCACACGCTCATTTTGTAAAGGTAAGTAAACACTGTGATATAAAGTACTTATGCACGGTGAAATTAACGTTTTAACATATGCAACTCTCTGCACATTCTTATTATTTTGGCCTTTAAGTACGAATATTTGAAGTATATAGAACAGTGGTTCGGAATTACTCGTGCACTTTAGATGATTTTCGAGAACTATGCCTATTTCTCTTCCCTTGCTTATACGCTCCGACGACAATTTCTACAAGTGTCACGCCGGACACGTGGATTACGTCAGATTTATGGTCTGCTCTTTGCAACTGCACTGCTGCACTGGCACAATATGTTAAAGTGAGACGAATATAGGTTTTCTCACTGTAGCTTATTGCACTGGTTCAGCGGTGCAGTTAATAAGAACAGACCATACTATTGGTCTGTTCTTTGTAGCTGCACTGTTGAACTGGTGCAATAAGTTAAAGTAAGATAAATATAGATTTTCTCATTCTAACTTATTGCACCAGTTCAGCAGTGCAGCTACAAAGAACAGACCATATACCAGAGTGTAGGATCTCCATTTCCCCTCTCGCGGAACAATTTATTGCAACTCAGTGTACACATGAAAAAATGCATTGTGCAGCCAAGAAAAGCTAATTATTCGGTTTTTTAAAAATTTCTTTTAAGTGACAGTTCTTTTCAACGAAAAATATTTTCTTTAATTTGAGTTTTATAACAGCTTAATATATATAATAGTAATTATTTTAAGTACATGTGATTCTTACGATGAGTATATAATATACTTGCGGGTTCTTTTCGCAAGTATTACTTAAAAAAAATAAAAAGAACCGAGTAATTTGCTTTTTTTGGCTGTGCAATGAGTATTTTTCTGCGTGTAGGACTGTCATATGTCATTTATAGGGATGACCGTGAGAGCGGAGAGATAAGGAAAGAGAAATAGTCGTAACTCTCGAAACACGCCTGAAAGTAATTCCGACCACTAGTGTAGAATATATAAACATATATTACATATATATATATATATATTCTATAGTAAAAATAAAATAATCGTACACTGAGAGAAAAAATATCTTAATAATAACAAATAATTCTTAGAGAGGTATTGATAGCATATTTATTTAAATTTAAATTCTCTTTATTTAAATCAAGTGTTATTAACTTAAACAGTTGAGTAAACAATATTTGCTTTTAATAAAAAAAATTTTAATTTAAGTAAATACGCTTTAGTAATTAGCGTTTCTGAAAGAAATATTTGTTATTTTTAAGATATCTTTTTTCAGTGTATTTAAAGACAAAAAACGATAAGAGTAGATTAGGTACATGTGCAGACATAGGTACCTTTACCTTATATACATTTTCCTTTTCTCGTGTTTAGACGTAGGTAACGAAAGTTCATCATATGGGAGGATAAAAGAAGCTAACGAGATCGCATAAAGAATCGGCACACTGAGACATCATCAGGATCCATTAGTTTCTGCACAAAATTCAGGAGAAGGAGCTCGAGCTCCATACTGATAATTTAAATTACCAATCGCAAGGAGCGATTGGTAAGTTGAAATTTTTAACAAGCCTAAAAAGAAACGAACTGCCGAACTTGCGAACAATGTAAGTAACAAGTTACATAGTTGGATGCAAAAGTATAACATTGATGCGATATTAATCTTTATTGCTGTTTTTGGCTAAATAAACAAGTCTACTTCCTTTGTAAATCTCTTATCTTAAGTAGCATAGTATTAATCGTGTATAATAATAAATAATACACTTTATATTTGCAGTGGACTATTTAAAAAAACTGACCCGAGAAATAACCGTCGTAAAATATAATGTAAGACGGTCATTGGACTTGTTGCATATTTTAGTGAAGAAATCAGACGAAAAAGAAAAATCACGGAATCCGACATATCTCTTCGAGGATATTGAAGATTTATTTCCACTAAAAAAAAATTCCAATTAATGGAGGTTGAGGACATTCTAAAAGACCCTAAATCCCAACGCGGCGATGCAATAGTAAGTTAACAATAGTAAGCTACCTGAAATGTACTTTATTGTGCTTCACTCGTATGATATAATATATATTTCAACTTTGCAGGGCGCTTATGTGAAATCCATAGGAGGAAATAACATGGATGATGCGGTGAAAAGAAGCCTCTATAAACTAATCTCAAACGGATTGGCGGAACAGTACAACTGGGAAGGTCGACGTGGGAAAGCAGCATTACACAATCTGGAATTAATGAAAGTTATTTTCAATGAGTATTAACGCAACCATCACAAATATATGAAATATATTAAAATAACGAAATAAATGAATCGAACTTTATTACATACCATAGAAATTATTTTTCTAGGATTCGTTCTCCGCAATGTGTCAGATTCTGATCAAGGAAAGATTCAACGAAGGGTTATGGAATGGTTCCGGCACTCCAAAGCAAGATCTGAAAACGAGGAAAAGCGCAATTTAAGAATCTATGGAGAAGTAGACAGATCTTAATATAAGTATATTTCCGTAGCTGTAAATTACTCCATTTGAGAAAATTCTTCAGGTATGGAATGTTGAAATAGAGATATCCATCATCCAGGTACGGGAGACATATACTACTTTTATTATTATTATGCACATATATCATTTAATTTATATAATAATACATGAAGAGATTAATTAAGATTATTTTCAGGATCTGCGCAAGTAGCCAATGATACTAGGAAGTTTTTAATAACTTACATATATCGCATACATTTGTATGTAATTCTGAGGATACAAAGAAAACATTAAAATAATATAAAAAAAACTAGAGAGAGAGAGAGAGAGAGAGAGAGAGAGAAAGAGAAAGTACAATTCACCACTATTTATAACCACTATTTATTATATTGACTTCGAAAAAAAGCGAAAAGAACCTAAGACGCAAATGGTTAGTGCGAACATATATTGAAATAATTCGAACAGATATTTCCAAGTGTTCAATATGACCACTGCTTATTATATTTACTTTGAATTGTACTTTCTCTCTCGCTCTCTCCTCTGTTTTAAACGAAACGTTTAGAAATATCTGTTCAAATTATTTCAATATATTTTATGTTCGCACTAACCACCTGTATCCTAGATTTTCCTCGCTTTTTAGTTCTTTACGATTAATCAGACAGCATAATTGCAAACCGTCATACTTTTTAGATGTATTTTCCAATTTTTGCAGGTAATTGTCCAACCACATCACAGCGTTCAGATACAGTAGTATCTGCGTAGGTTTGTCCAACAGCAGCAACGTGAGTTCCAAAAAGAGTGTTCTTCGAAGACGCCAGCCAATATTTATATTTACATTTACACTTTAATTTGTATGCACTTTTTTGTATTTATATTTATAATTATATTTGTGCACATCTATGTACTAGCTCCTTTTACATATTAAATAAAATCACTTCACAAAATTCTGTGTGCTTCCAACCTTAATTATAGTTTATATCATACATCTACGAGAGCTTTATAACGTCCATGGAAGTCCTTAAAACGTACAAAAATCATCCATTAGATCTCCATTACGTATCCGTAAGAGCTTCAGTAGCTCCATATAATCTCCACATAACCTCCATAAAATCTCGATCATTACGTCTAAAATACATCCAGTGGAGGTGCTATAAGCGGACATTTGGATGTTCAATGGAGATCCATTGGATGATACATGGACGTCCATTAGAGGTTATGTATCTCTATGATGGATGTTCAATGGACGTCCATTAGATGTTTTGTTCCGTGTGGGATGTTTCCTGTGTCGAGATTTTCTCAAATGTTAATTTGTGTTAATTAAGAAAAATAATATACACTCTAAGAAAAATAAAAATAAATAGAAAATAAAAAAATATTAAAAATTAAAAGAAATTAAAAGAGAAAAAACCTCTTCGTAGATTACTACTGTAACGTGATGAAGAGACTTACATATTGAAATACATTACAATAATATAACCAAATCTAATCTTTTGTTTCACAGATGATCATTTGTGTATCTTTGAAAGTAATTAATTGCATATCCTATTCATGTTTTTTTATTAATTTATGCTGTTTCGATTGATTTTCATAAATATTTATAACGAATTACTTCCAACTTTAACAACCGAAACCACCCCAGATAGCCAAACTTGTGCGAGCAGATTTCGAGCAAAGCCTGCTATCATAATTTGATGGCAAATAGGCAACAAATTTAACGCAGAATCTGTTGTATCAAATTATGCCACCAATCTGCGGTCAAATATGCGTCGGATCCTGCTATCGGATATTTGACTGCAGATTTGTAGCAAAAACCGCGCAAAACTTGCAGTAATTTGACGGCAGATTGGCGACAGAAACCGAGCAAACTCTGCGCTCAGACTTTGCACGTAGATTGGCAGCAGGACCTGCACGGTTTCTGCCGACAATCTGCTCGCACGGGCTGTCACGCAAGTCCTGTCGACAAAACACGAGCCTAATGAGGACACAGATGGCTATGGTTTTGATGTGGGGATCTGATCGAAATTGGCGTCAATCTGCGCGCATTCTGCTAGCATTTTGCTTACTAGGACCATATTAATTCGGCCATTTTGATTTTTGAACGTCTGATTTAAAATTAGCAATTAACGAATTCCGACATGTACTCTGGGTATACATCGTTCTACAATTTTTCAACAAGTATACTAATGAAAGTCAATATAATATTCTTATCTATCCGTACCGTTGGATTCGCTTATCGATTTCAACAACTTTGACTCTTCATATCTCCGAAACCAAACCTATATTCAACTTGAAATTTTTCCCAGATTAATATCATAAGCTATATCATAAGCATTATCATAAGCTATCATTTAGATTTAAATCATAATTCGATTCAATCCGTGAAGTCCACTAAACAGACGAAACTTGCGGTTGCTCTTGGAGTGTATATTTGAGAGTAAATTCGAATAATTGAGTTTAAACACTCAATATTTGAATGTTTCTTTCAAAAGAGTTAATTTTATATTAGTTAATCTAATATTAGATTTGAAATGTTATTATTGAAATGTTATGTTTGTTAATCATTTTTACCTCCTGAAGATGCAAGCAATTCAGTTTTCTGTGATGTATTTATATCTTTTAATTCGGATAAAATTTTACAACTGCTATATCTCGAAAACTAAACATGTTAGAAAAAACTATTTTAAACAAAAATTGTATAGTTTTAAGAAGGACATAGAATAACTATATCATTTTGTTTACAGATGATGCCACTTTCGAAATATTCACTGATTATTATTTTTGTTAAATGAAAACTCCATTTTTTATTATATCTTCTTTTTCTATTAATTAATTTGAACAACTTTTATCTGAAACATTTTTCTATTTGCCTAATATTTTTTGAAATATTTAAGGAAAACCTGATAACTTTTTCAATATTTAACTTATGATATCTCGCTAACTGTTTGTTGAAAGAAAAAATAGTGTTAGATGTTTTTACCCTATTTACTCTTTTTTGTCTGAAATGTTTCTTAATATCTTCCATATTTTCCGAAATTTTTGCCTGACTCATTTAAAATGGGATGCCCTGTATTATCTCCGAAATATTTTATTTATACTCTAATGTATAACGTTTAAGTTAAAGTAGCAAGTGACATTAAATGACGTTTCAATGACGTTTCTAATGTCCATAAGACATAACAAAAACGTCATTTGACATCATCTCGCTACTTGAGATGGAATATATTGCAATACAATATTATAATAATCTTTTAATGTTACGTATAAACATATTATCCACTATTGTAATATTTCAACATCATATATAAACGTAATATATCAGTAATATTTCTGTAATATTGTATTATAATTTGTAATATTAATTATATATTGCAATCTAACTATGATATTTCTGTAATATTATATGCTATGTGGGAATTGAATATGAAAATTATAAAATGGCCACCCATTAGCGTCATTTTATGTCATTATTAGAAGTTGTCCGCGCGGTCTCGAAATATTTCTTCCCGAATTGCGGGCAGTGTGTTGCATGAAAAATGAGAAGGCGAAGAGACAAGACGAAGGAGATTCTTGCTTAGCGATAAAATCACCGCTGACTCGTCTCGTGTCTACTCCTGCCGGGCGGTTCATTGGTGGTGAGACAAAGTGAGAGACCGATTGATCATCTGTGTTTTTCTAATTTACTATCTTTCTTAAGAAAGTAAAGTGAACAAGAACCGTACATGTTGCCGTCAGAACGGACATAGTGTATATATATTTTCCCAGAGGGCGCGACGAAAAAAGTGTCTTGGAGTAACCAGCCCAGTGGCCGCTCTGAGGCTCCTCTCTGATTATAATAACGATACATTTACAGGATGTTTTTGTATCATTGGTAATTTGTATCGCCATGGTAATCGAAATATAATATGGTATAAATGTTTATGTTATCCTAACGTAGTTAAAACAGTCGGTATTACCATCGCTTCAATTACCTCCGGGCCTCTCAAGAGCCTTTTGCCTATATGAAAATTTACCCAGGACTGATCTAACCAGTCTTTGATATTATCTTGTCGGTGATATCACTAAAATTCTATATTAAATGAAGGACATTGTATATATATTTAAATGTAAATTATTTACATATGTACAATGCTATTAGTAGTATATATATATATATATATATATATATATATAATCTATGCACTACAATTAAATAAAATTACATACAATAGAACATATTGAAGGAAATACAAAATTCCAAAAATAGACAAATTCTTGAGAATGTATCATATAGAATGCATGTGTTCTCAGAAATGTAGCTTATTTTTTCTTAAATAGAGTAATTTTATTCATAAAACGTCAGAGACTTAAACTATTATTAGTACTAATTTTTGAAATGTGAGAAAGCTTTATTTTAATGTATTTTGCACTAATAGTTTTGATTAAATGCGAACGATAATTTTCTGTCTCTAAAATGTTTTGAACGCGCGAATGTATTTCTAAATTAATAGATAATCTAAAATAGATAAATATATTATATATTTATATTATTATAGTTAATAGATAAATATATCTGATTCAATAAAATTCAATAAAACAAAACGATATTTAAAAAGAAAGTTTATGCTTATCAATATGGCGCCCCCTTCCTCTAAAAAGTTTAATTTTTCTTGCCAGGGTGCTTCGTCCATGTATTTTGTTTGCATATGTCCGTGATTGTTCTCTGTGCGATCGAAGAATAATCGACTGTGATTGGTCAACTTGCTTGCGACTTTGCAACTTGCAACTAATGTAGAATAAACTTATCGGAATACAGCCTATGGCTCGGTTGGTATAGCTGCAACGATATAAGAAAGGAAAATTTATCTCATTAGATACGCGACGGGGCGACGGGGTGCGAGGTGCAGGGACGGGAGTGAGGGTGACAACGACGCAGTGACTCTCTCAGAAACGATGATGTTAGTAGCTATACGGAAGCCGAATAAGTATGATGAATCCAACAATTGCATCTGTGCTCTTTTGCGCCGTGTTGTGCTCTTATTATACGTCATGTGTTACCTATATGTACGAAGATTGCGGTGAGTACGCCCCATATTATTCTAATAAACCTTGTTCCGACGATTCTTGCAAGTGAATCGGGCTTATTTGGACCGTTCTTGAAAGTATGTTTTTGTTCCTAAAAAGATTTGTTTGTAATAGAATAGGAATAGAAAAGAAATAGCCCGAGTGTAAAAGATTATATATAATTAAAAATTCTGTCTTAATGTAATTGTATATATAGGAGTTACTTTCGTTGTTAATATTTACCGTATTTCAGTATTTTCCACGTCACCCATGAGGTATTATTGTTGACGCGTTTTTTTTAAGTGGTATCCCCAGTAGGCCTAATCCACTGACTGTAACAACCCGTAACTAATTGAACAGAAGCGAAATAAAATACCGTATTTTCGATAATAAATTCGGAGAAAAATAGATTTTCTGTTTTGAGGAAAGAAGACGGGTCCATTTTTTTAATCATCATGATCTTAGTCATTTTTCTTCTATACGATATTACACTTTTGGATATATTTTTAGTTATGGTTTTAGGACTTTGCACCTCCTGTTTATCGTTTAAATATCGTTACTTTTTCTTTGTCCAATATATTGGTACGTTTCATTTCGAGCACAAAGATAGCTTAAGAGAGACAAAGAGAAGTGGACGAACGGATCTAATTCCAGCGAGTGATCGGATTTCGACGTTATAGACAAAGGAAAGAGCGATTTGTATGTCTTCTTTACTATCAACAGAATGCGTTTATCTTATTGTAAAGCTTTTCCTACATATTCGAGATTTTGTTTCGGACACAAACATTTAACGTTTGCCATGCATCTAGAACACTCCTAAGTATTTTGACTCAAATTCTTGAGATAATTATTATCTCGGGATCCTGTTCATTTCCCGATAATCCGATAGTCTCAGACTATTAGCCTATTGTTGCGCAGATATAATATAATAGAAAAGTTTCGATAACGTAAAAAGCTAAAGACTAAGAAAACTAAAAGACGTAACGATAATAATTGTAGTTAAAAGTTACAAAATAAGTCTGCCTCGGACTTGTAAATTCTGAGTCAATAGCAAATATATCTATAACAGTCAAACATATGAACATCTATACAGTTTGCTTAGTAAATCTAACCGGCAAATTTTTCTTCTGGATATTATTAGACGAATTATTTGACACATACAATAGAATCGTTGCCCCACGTTGTAAATAAATTTTTAATTGTTTGGCTTTTATGTGTGG